AAATCATTAATGAAGTTTCAGCTCAGACCCCACGCTTAATATGTCTCCCCCTGGCCCACCTACATTTCTCCAGGCCCACCCATACAATAATTCCTGGCTACGCCACTGTTGTAAACAGGTATGGAGCACTGATGTTTTCGTTCTCATCCAGCAGCCTCCAATCATTACAGTTATCAAAGTGGCAAACATATCCTGTCTTTCAGCCCATAATATGTTACAAAAATGCTACAAAAAACTAGAATCCTACATTTCCCATGATGCCACCAATAACATCTTTCAACTTTCTTTCCCTGACTGACCTAATCCAACACCTCAAGATTCTAACGTAGGCTTTTTAATTGTAATGTTTCATCTTAAGCGGTGACATTGCAACATCAACAGGGTTTGTTTTCTCAGAATTCACAAAGTCATCAAGAACTACGGAAAACATTATACAGCTGTTCAGAATTTGTCTTTTAGAAAAGTGATTTTATGTGGACATTCAGTCGAATGCTTATTTTTGCATATGAACATACCTTCGATAATTCTAATTGGGACATTAGATAAGATCATATACCTCAACAGTTAGGTTCCACTGTTTGATTGGCTAGTTTGATTGATTGATTGATTGATTGAAAAGTTTATTAACAGCTTGTATATTGGGTACAGTACAGTACAGCTCAAAACATACAATTGTTAAGGGGATGCAGACCAGAGAAAGACTTTCGTCTTGTTTACATCAGGGTCCCCCATTTCCAATTCATCATGTCATATAAGACATATTTGACATACAGATGGCTTATTTACAATTTACATACAGGTGGTTTTTTACATACAGATTGCTTATTTACAATTTTCATTTTAGATTTCGTTCTAATACATCCTAACCGGACATTTAAGACATACCAAGTCTACAGATATACAGTTAGTAACAGAGTCTAAAATGCGAGTATATACATAGATGGGGGGGGAAGCTGTCCATTGAACGACAGGTTGAGATTTGTACCATTACCGGGGCCAGTTTTGCAATGCTCTCCCCCGAAGGTGCTCTTTAAGAGAGGTTTTGAAGGTAAGTATAGTTTTACTTTCCTTTACAGTTGTGGGAAGAGCGTTCCACCTTGATGTGGCATAATTGCGAAACGTGTATTCCCCCTTTTTTGTGCCAAATCTGGGTTTCACATGATTTGTGGAGCTCCCTCTGGTGTTATGATCATGGTATTCCTTGACCTTTGGGAAGAATTTTGACATGTACATGGGTACCATAGAGGTGTAGTGGATCTTGTAGACCAGGCCCATTGCAAGTAGCTGTACTCTGTCGTCTACTCTAAGCCATCCTAGGTTGTCAAAGTGGGCAGAGGTGAGGTGGGTTCTAGATGAAAGGTCAAGCAGTAGTCTGACCAGTTTATTTTGCGATGTTTGAAGTTTTATTTGTAGCGCCTTGGAGGTGCTATGGTACCATGACGTGCAAGCATAGCATAGCATAGCATAGTTAATTTTTCTCTCTTGTATATCAGTTTTCCTTGAGTGCCAGGTGAAATGGCATTGTTCCGCAGTCTTTAACATGGAGCAAATGTAATAGTCTTGGGAGTGGAAGGAGTCTGATAATGGTGGCGAGGGACAATACAAGGGCCCAGCTGTTTAATCTTTCCGCCCATTCTCATGCAGAGCAGGCTTCAGATGGTGGGGAGGAGAGCGAGAGGGAAAAAGTTTCACTGGTTCACTCAGAATGACTTATTTCTCTAAGGATCCTAGCGCAAACAAGCAGGACACGGAGGAATTTAGATTCTCAGACAGCGCGGTGTGGATGACACAAACATCAACAGAACCAGACTTGTCTTCCCCTCGTCCATCTTTTTGTTTTGTGTAGCTGCACTAAAACATTCTTTGTTGATTCCTTCAACATTCTTTGGTTGTTGATGAGGATGTTGTCACTCACTATTGTTTTCCAGACAAAGAATACACACACATTTGCATACTGTACACACTCACTTCACTCTTATTAGACTGGGTGTACCCCCCCCCCCCCCCCCCCCATACACCAAGTCAGACTGTGTAGTAATGAATTGCAGTGTCACACAATGTACCACATTTAATCCCCTAGTAATAAACTCACTCTGTTACCAGGCAATGAAGAAGGATAGAGGGATAAAAGGGAGTGAAGGTGAACAAAACAAAAGGAGGATTAAAGTGGGCAAGTGAGGGAAATGTGGGAGGAAGGAATACGTATGGAAGGACTTTGGGTGAAGGGAAATCACAGGAAACAGGAGGTGAGATTGTTCAGGGGAATGGTTGAGCTATAAGAGAATGTGGAGGAAGAAAGAAGCCATCATGGAAAAGAGGGATTTGAGAGACAAAAATAAGTAGTGAAGGTGTAAGGAGAGAATGAGGCATGGAAGGAATTAGTGAGAAGGAAATGAAAATGGACGGAGGGTAAGAAAAAGGATAGAACTAAGTGTGGATGAATGATTGTTTGAGAAAAAGGGAAGGACAATGAGGCAAGAAAAAGGAAAGAATCAAGAAGGAATTAAGAAGTGAGTATTAAATAAGGGAAAGGGATTAAGGGAAGAGTGATGGAAGCAAATAAAAAGGAACATGCCGCAAGGATGCACAGCGGGAGAGGAGGGGGAAACCATCTGAGTAGTTTCCTGACTGCAGTGCTCAACCACTGCCACTAGAGGGAGAATTGCATCTCCCCAGCTGATAATGATCATGATCACTGTTACTCGGTTGATCAAATGGATCCTACATGAGATTACTGAAAGTGACTGCCTCAGTGTGAATCACCCAAGAATGTAAGAAGAAGGAGGTGTAGTCAGATTTGAGGATGAGCTAGCAGATACAGCAGTAGGAGAACATTGATTCATCTCACTAAGGACTGCTGCCTCCCACTATTTTCCCTCCATCGCTGCCTGTCCTTCGTGCTACCAGCTTCTGCCTCTCCTTCTCTTCTTCAGTGGATGCTGCAGAGTGCACATGTCATGTGTTTTGTGGTGCACTGTAATTGCTTGCACTGCTTTTCCAAAAGGCAGGGCAGTACCTGGCTAATCTTAAGTGTGGTGTGAACGCCTGCATGTAATTGGTCACACTAACATGCTGCTAACAGTTTGCTGCGTCCGCGGATGGCTTTTAGTCACTAGAATCTACTGGGAATTGTCTTTTTAAATGGCTGTGAGATTATTCATACTCCCTGTGGGGTTAATTGCGGTGTTTTTTTTTTGAAGAGCATTACTGCCAATTATTCATTATAGAACTATAAAAACATCCACAAACAATCGGTAATTTCCTGTACCTGATTGTATGTTCTCGCCCACATGATCTACAGGTGCAGCATATGAATGACACTGAGACATATAATACTTTGGAACTGACTCTCATAATGTTTTTCACAGTGTGCTTCCCCTTGAAAACAACTGTTGATACACCAGTATACACACTCCTTCTCAGCCTGTGTGAGATATAATTGCGCAGGCAGGCGTGGGTAGAGAGACCCCTGGGGAGTGGAAGTAGGTACTGCAGAAGTGAGAGGTGGTCTATTTTAGATCACTGCAGCAACACAGAGCAGTGGGGGAAGCAAAAGAAAAGTAGGCTAGTTAGGATGCAAGATACACACTTAAGAGCTCGTCTGTTGAGACTTTAGACCCAAACTCTGTCTCTCTACAGACGACTTCATCAGCCAAAAGGCTCTCCAACATTTCATGTCCGAATCATATTCAGAAACAAAATTGCTCTTTTAGTTGTTCAACTTTTGAAGATTTGGCTCAGGGTTGGTTTCGGGCCCGATCCCAGTTACAGTTTGTTACTGAATCTGCAGTTACATATTTAGCTCATTTAAGCTAACCGTGGCTAAATGTAACAGGGTCAAAAATAAAAAGATGTTATTTAGGAATCTTGCATAGCTTGGCTTTTCGGTTCTGAACCCTGCATAGAGCTCTTAGGGTTTAATTGTATCTCCCTACATGTAGTAAGTTACAAAAACATTGTGTTCAATTCAGTTTGTAAGTAATGACGATAAAGGCTTTTGTTGCTCGTATTCTGGGAACTCCACTGAACGTTGTCCCGCCTCGAAGACCCCTGAGGATTCCTGACCCCATTATTTGGCATGACTTTGCTTGCATAGCCTATGATCTTTGAAGATTGCCATTTGACAAAGACAATACATCCTAATTAAGCCTTCATCAAACCCCCAGCCTGGCCACCATGGCCCCTAATTCCAGCTCTGCCTCTATTGACGGTGCTGGAGATGTACGCAGCGTGACCCGGAGGTTGATTAAAGTGAAGTGAGGTATAATAAGTTAGCACAGCGGTGAAGGAACTTCTCTGACACGCTGATGAAGTGATGCTAATTGCCAAGTGCCACTGAGAAGTGCTCCATTAATGCAAAAAAAAACTGAGAAAGACAGTGCTGACACTCTCACTTTAGTTGAAGAGGAAGACTTAGATCAAAGTGAAATGTGCTCCAGGTGACATCCTGTTGTCAGATTTGGGAGGTGATGATTTTCTAATCACAAAGTCTTTGTGTGCAATGCGACCTAAAAGATGTCTTCCTTGAAACAACCATGAACTATGTTTTAGCACTGTGTGATTATCTCATGTGAAATAATAATGCTATCATTGCTGATATGAAATGTGTTATCTGCTTTATACTTTCACAATGTAGTTATTCTGTTGGTAAATGAAGCTGGTTTTGTATTTTAACTTGACTAACTGCTAATTCATTTTTAAGTGTATTCACTTTGCGGACAGCTATGAGTTTCTACAAATGTAACCATATTATATCTAAATAATTCTTAAATCTGTTTAACTTGTCAGTGCATTTAAAAACACTTAAACCTAAGGTAACTAGAATGCTGTTAACTAAACAAACCAGCCCAAAAACACATCCTCAAGTTCTTCCTGTCCTAACTAAAGCTGATTTAAACATTTGCTAAACATTTGCCATGTTGCCCCTCTAACCTCTAACCTTTCAACTTCCAGATTTCTTTGTAACCTCTCTTATATTGTCTTCTCCAAATTTCTTAAAGGGAACTTTGATAATGAGCGCCTGGCTATTGCTAGACAAAGAATCCCATACCGACTTGGTCGGGTAGTTGACGAGTGGCTACTCGACAAAGGTAATAAAATACCCTTTAACTCCACTAATGATCTCTAACCTACCGTTAACCACCACTCTGGAGGAGGTGCAGTGCCACGCAACAGGGCTGAATGTGAGTTGGCTCTTAACAGACCTGGTCCCCTGATATCCACTGCAGATTTACCAAAAACAATAATAAATGGATTATCTATCCTTATTCATTACATTGAATTATTCCTAAACTCAATTGATATCTGAAAACTAACCACAAACATTGTTGGAAGAAAGATTGTTTTATATCATACATGGGCCCTAGCTTTACATCCCAGTGTGCCCAGTTGAGGCACTTCACTGTGAAATGATTGGTTAAAATAATAATTACATTAAAAACATGTATTATAACTCCAGTCCCTAGCATTGGAATGCAGATATCCAGGGGACCATATCCAAAGCACCTTAAACTGGGGCTGCATCTCTTCAGAGGAATAACTCCCAAATAACCCGACATAACCCCCTAATAACCTAACTACATGTAAACAGCCTCTTGATACCGTCTGCTTCTTTCCTGTGTCTTTTGTTGGCTGAATGTGACTTTGCATTGAATATATATATATAATCCTTCATGAAAACGAAAAATATAACTGGATTTCTAAGAAGAAAAAAGAATTCCCCATGAAGTCACTAAAAGTTAAAGGGACTGTTGAAGTGTTTGTTCAGTAATCGGTCTAAATTCATTTGTGGCACGTGGGCGCACATTTCCGCCCAACGCTACGCATAACTAGAGCCTTAAGTGATGATTCTTTAACCCTTTGAGTGCCGAATGTCCCAACCTCTTTATCTTGTGCCGTGTGTTTGTGCTGCTGAAGGTGGTTGATTCTAAAAAAAAAATGCAAAAGAGGATTATAATAGCAATACCACTAAACAGAGCCGAGACTTAATCTTCTATGTTGCATTGAATGCATTGCAGGCATGTAATTATCATGCGCTGTGCATATTGTGGAGTCTGGATTCAAACAATACGGTACTTTCTACCATAATAAAACCTAGTACAGAATGACATTTCTGTCACATGTTCTGGCGTAGATGATCAGAATATCCAAATACTTTATAGTATCGTTCGCATAATCTTTTCTATTTGCATAAAAGATCTATTGAGATTATCATGAATTTAGAGCTTCAAGCATAAGCCAATTAGCTAGGGGCTCCTTTGAAACGGTATTGTGAACAATAAGACATGCAGGGTAGAATTCAAAAGATACAATTGTCTCTGGGAGCAAACTGAAGTATTCATGCGTCAGACAAACAAGATAAATGAAGCACTTGCATATTTATTTTATGGAAACAAAACCATCCTTGATTTAATCTCCAGCTCCTAAGAAGTGACTTCTCTGCTCTCCTCTTGAACATTGGCAACACTCTTCTGCTGAAGGTAGTTAGGACACACATACAAATAAAAAAGGCTTGGGTAATTAAAGTTGAATGAAAAAGTGGATCAATAAAAAATGACTTATCCACTTATAAAATGATTTGTGCATGTCATAAAAGTCTAAAGAGAATGAGCTTGAAACAGAATGTATAATTCTCTTTCTTCTTTAATTTGAACTGAGACTGCATCCAATCATTTAGATGAGAGCTGTGAAGAAGTCGAAGAAGAAAAAAACATATTATTCCCATCAAACCACGACTGAGGGCTTTGATCAGGGATCTGAGAAAAATGTTATTTGTTAATTTGATAGGATTCAGTCATACACACGTGATAGATTGACACTTGTTAGTCTAGATAATGAAGGGGATTAGCGGACATTTCAGAGCTGAAAGGGTTAAAGCTTTTTGTTGCTTTGATAAAAAGAAAGTGGCTCAAACTGGAGAAACTTCTAAGCAGAATCTAACCACCTAACAGCAAATCAAACTCCACCCACACTAACCACTGAGGGCTTCTCTCATCAATCCCCACCCTCCACTTCAAATTGAAACAATTCGAGAAACCGTCCCAGCTTTGCCCTGCTGGTGAAAAATTCAGAGAGCTCTCAGTTATAACCATGTTATAAATGATAACATTCAAACGCACCTGGATGTCAGTATTTGGAAGAACTCGTACGGCGTTCGATCGGGACAGAAAAACAAATAAAAAGATAACTAAGTTCTAACTGCTACTTAAAGAAACAAATCTGCACCTGGCATCTTCCTCCCCTTGTGTCCACGCAAACTCAGAGGGTTAAAACAACAAATAACTGAACACCAAATTCAAAAATGACGCTGGATCATTCCAACAAAATGTGTTTTAAATGAAGGTCCCTTTAACATTTATTGTTTCACTCGTAAGAAAAGTCTTTTGAATGTATTGTTCTACATGTCTTTGCTGTGTGGGGTGAAAGCTGTATGGACATTTGAGTGACAGACTGTGTGGTGTTACTGTGTTACCTATGTGGGGTTTCAGTGAATGCCTCAAAGGGTCATGACCTTAGCGCACAAAACAATCAGCCCAGAAGGTCTCCTCTCCACGTGCTCCAACATCTCATTGCTACCTCAACAGTACCATTTATCTCAAATGTTATGTTCATCTTTGAAAAGAAACACACCAACAGAACTAATTGCTTACAAATGCCCTTCTAAATTGGTGTTTTAGTCACTATGGGATATAACGGAAGGCATTGGAGCCAGCAATGTCCTAGAGGGAGCCGAGCTGTGTCACCGCATCTCATTCCGAAGACCTTATCCAATCTCCTGTGTGTGTGTGTGAGGCAGATCAGAGAGAGCATCTCAGGCCGACTCTGTGCCGCTGACTAAATCCAAAACGGCAGCCATTACAGGGACCCAATGGAGGGGGAAAATCAGGAGGCCAAACGTTTTCCACTGAAAAAGTTACTCTGATGCATTCCCACTTTTCCTGGCATCTTTTTCTCGCCGTGTGATGGATCTGTCGCTCCACGTTTTCAGCTCTTCCTACCTTTATACCTTTTTTTTCCCTTGACTGCCAACAGCTGCCTTCACAAAAAGTAGGAGGCTTCTCTCTACTGGAAGATAAAGATTACAAATACCAAGCCTCCCTTAAACAGATGAGCAAGAAAGCCAATACAGTTCCCCAAAGAATTGGAGCATATATCTTCTTTTGACGAGGCGTCTATCCCTCTGGAGCTTTCCAACAGCATGCCGACCATGCTTTGAGTGAAATTACATCGAAAGATGCCTATGCTAAACGCTAGATCCAGGTTTTAATGTTCAGTCTGGTGTGAGCTCCCCCAATCCCCAATCAAAGGCAACCAAGTCCTCCCACTCGGTGTGGGGCCCAAGTCAACGTCTCCAGGCCAGGCAGAGGTCCAGATGTTCTATTCATGATCCCAGCTTCATTTCAGAGATTCTCTCACATCAGGCAACTGAGAGTAAATCCGTCTCAGTCTGTCGTTCAGCAGCTCCATGTTGAGCTTTGTCTCCCGCTGAGTTCATATCTTGCTCTCATTTAATCTCTCTGCACTATTATGGCTATATTTTAGGGAAGTAGGGGGGTAATTGTATCCATTTTTAACATGCTTGCTCATGAGTAAAAAAGTGTCTGCAAGAAAGCGGCTCTGTTATTTCATGGTCCCCTACCATGAAATAACCTCAAAAGAGAGCAATCACAGCGGCAGTGAATACAAGAGAAGATTTCCCCTAGCTAACCACCGTGCGATCTCTCTGTGCTTCTCTGCCTCGACAGTATCACCTTGTTAAGATCAGATGTACAGATATAGTATAGAGATAGAGCCACATCTGATTTTCCAATCTACTGTCTCCGGCGTCCTGCAGTCTTACCACCACATCTCAGCAGCCTCCCCTTCCTTTAAAGACCTCAGGGCTCCACGTTGCCTCCAAAAGCTTTCAGTCTAGCTTCATGCCGCATTTGGCCCCTCATCTCCATTGTCAAACACAATTAATTCATAGTGTTCTGCCCAAACCAGCCTGACTTCCGAGGAGTGAGAAAGCCAAACGCTCTTAATTACCAAAGAGAGCCTTGTGCCGAGGAGATAACTTTGGAACACTTTGTAATCGACTTTGTCAGCATCCCACCCCACCCCCATTGCGTGTGACTCTCTCCCTCCCTATTCCTTTTATTTCTGTAGAAAAAAGAAAATGGAAATAGTTTAGTTGATACTAGAAATTCTGCATGCACCCAAAAAGACTGCGTGCAGACGGTCCAACTTTGTGTTCTGCACATCACAAAGCCGAGTATTGACTGAGGTGAATTCTGGGCCATCCCTCCCACCCTGCAACTCAGCTAAGAGAAAACATTTCAGATTGAAGCTCCTCACAACCATATGGCATCCCTCCTCTCTGAGAGATAACAGGAGTAGAAGGAGGATGAGAGCGGTGTAATGATGACGGTGGAGGGAGAGAGATACCGCTCTCTCCAGCTGCAGTCCCTTTCATATCCCCTCCACCGGGGATAGGATGGTTGCACTTAGATCATCCTCCCCCTCTCCCCTCCAATCTCCCTCAACCTGCCTCTGACAATCACTTCCTCCAGGTTAGCTTCTCACAGCCAGGGACAAGAGCTTAGCCTGGAGAGAGTGCCGTATCAAGCCTCCGTCCTATCCTGTCCTCTACACCGACAGTCTGGGCGTCACAGCAGGCACACAGCCATTATTCCAGAGCCTCTTGACAAGCAATCTGTGCATTAGCAAGCAGAGCATGGCCGAGCCCAGCCCACTCTCCGGCTTGGCAAAGCTTAGCTAGTAATTACTGACCACAACTCATCTGAGACAAGCCCCTTCTCAAAAAAGAGTGTGCACCCGGAAACTTGCCATACCTGCTTACCTGGACAATTTACTTTTGACCCAACAAATTATTTCTAACTGACATCAGACAAGTGTGATGCAACCTGTACCCAACAGATAAACCCTTAAAACTCTGTGGCCTTTCATGTATCAAATCCTCAGCACACAGGAAGTGATGGCTTTGACATGAAACTCAAACGTATTTTCTAAAGCCAAATCTCAGTCAAACCAGACACACTGAAATTGGAGAATATTTACCTCCCGTCTTTTTCGTCTTGTTTTGGGACAGTTCTGTCTCCAAGGACAACGTTGCACTTATCAAAGGAAATGCTTACATCTTAAATTGACTTTGTAATTACAACATTATTTATGGTAGAAAACAGATACATAGTCCTCTAAAACCATCTGCTACAAAGAGACACTTTTTTCAGTAATAAAGATAACTGTCATTTACATTCTGTACTTTACTCTACATTTGCGTCGTCCCTGGTCAAAGAACAGAGATACAGGAAGCTATCGTCTCGTATTCACAGAGTATTTAACCACGCAATAATCTGCACCTAAAAGAGGGTAATCAGACTGGAGGTGACTTAGCAGGCATTCCATATCCTCTAAATGGAAGGCACTTTTCCTCAATGTTATTTCTTTCAACCGACTCACTATTCTTCCTCCTACTTCTTTCTTACCATCTCATTCAAACTAGCTGCACCTTCACCAGCTTTGATAACACTTTAAAGATCAATCATTATAAAACATATCATATATATTATTCTGAAATGGAGCAATCTGCACGATGACTACTTCTTTTTTTTATCAATATGTTTATTGATTTTCAGCTTACAAACATCACATACATAGGACGAAGACATAGAGCCAAAAGCAATACATATATACACAGGACAACTACTTTACTTTACATTAAAGAAAAAATAACAACACTAAATTAAATTGGTACATACCACAAGGGCACTCTAATACATCGGCAACCATCCAGTTTTCCAGCAATAGGACCGTATTTCTACAGAGGATATCACAGTCATTTACATTTTACCATATTATAGCATATTATAGCATTATCGCATTATCCTGCCCCAGGTTCGTTCAGAAATTGAGATAGGTCGTTGTTCTTGGTATACTCTATAAAACGTCCCCAGACCTTCTGGAACAGTTCTTGTTTGTCTTTGAGAATGTAAGTGATTTTTTCTAAAGGCAGACATAAAGAAAGTTCCCTAAACCACTGTGCAATACTAGGTCTGCCCAACTTTTTCCATGTTAAGGCAATCACTCTTTTTGCTTGTAATAAACACATATCTATAAAAACTTGTTTATAACGTTGTATGTTATGTCCATCCGGATATAGGCCAAGTAGGAACATTTTTGGTTCCATCTTTAAGCTGATCGCTAAAATATTCTGTACTGTTACCCTAACCTCTTCCCAGAATTCCTTTATTCTTGGACATAACCATAGACAATGGAACAGTGTGCCTTTTCCTTCCCCACGATGACTACTTCTACTTTCACTCAAGTTCAAGATCTGGTACTTTGCCCACCTCTGTGCCAACCTTTCTTATCCCAAATCAAACAGCAATAAGTGAGTAGCTCACAGCCAGAATACGGTGTTTTCTAGAAAAACATTGAACAAGCGGCAGCACCTCTGAAGCACGATTTTGAGTCATGAAGGCTTCATATGACTTCAAGTGCGATACATGTTTGACTGCTAAGTCCTCCTAAGGCGTCTTCTCCACTTCTTTATCTCGCTTTACTCTGTTTCCAGCATGTTTCTATGCATACCCCTTAGGGATGTGCAGAATTAAAAGGAACTAGCTTCTCATAAATTAATGTCATAGATAAATGAATGTCATAGATAGATATAGATAGATAGATAGATAGATAGATAGATAGATAGATAGATAGATAGATAGATAGATGCTTTCTACAACACACACATCCAGTAAGCCACGCAAACACAAACAAAGGCGTATGTAAATAAATGTTGGGCGAATACACACTATTTGAAAAGGCCAACTATCACACAAATAAAGGTCATTTCCCTGACATATTTCATAAGTCATTACATACAGGCCTCTCATACAGCCTCTCCTCGCTGCCGAGCCACATCCAGCTCCGTCATATTAAGCGCAGTGATTGCTTGTCATGCAGAGGCTTCGTCTTCTCCCCTCCCCCCCTGCACCCCACCCAGCTCCAGCCTGCCGCCCAAATTGGCTCTAAAACCACATGCCACTTTTGATTTAACCTGGCAGACCCCGAAACAATAACTTCATCAGGCCCTGTTAGTCTCATCCTGACCAGACAGCTCCAAAAACAAACACTGATTTCCCTTCATCTGGTCAGAGGGCACCTTTCGTCTTTACTCGCTCTGTCTCTGATGGGATGAACGCACACATGGCTGTCACAGAGCTCGCCGTCCCTGCTCGTTAACGAAGAAGGACATCTTCACTTGCTGTATTTGCAACACATAATTATATCGCTCATCCGACGGATTCTTGGACATTTACATGTGCAACAACTTTCGAGGTATAACTAATCCCACCTTCTCTGCATCAAAACCATAAGCCGCTTGTCAGTATTGCTTAAGTATGGCCGTGTTGCTGTCTCGGAATGTAGCTGTGACTCCAGAACACTTAACTCTTCAGGAGAAAACTGTCTGAAGTGATCATCTGACTTGGAGTCGCTGCTCCCATGCAGGCAGAGTTTGGCTTTCTGAAAGGATCTTTAGCTGTTTGCTAAACCAAGAGGACATTCAGTAATACGGATGATGATGTGTCCTCAACGTCTCTGCGTTCCATGACCCTTCACTGGAGAGCAAGGTCCGACTGGGGCTGCTTGAAATGGGAGACCCTCTGGGCTGATGAGAGGGCGTGCATATATGAGTCCTCTTGTCAAGGACGCTGGAAGAATGATAAACGGGGCAGTAAGGTGGAGTGAGACTGTTGAAGTGTTTTTTAAGGTGTGTAGGCAAATGTATTTTTTCCCCTGTATTTTCCTTGCTGATGTCCACAATTCGACAATCTGTCCCCTACATCCATACCCATTCCTTTTTCTCTTTATAACCTCTCACACCAAACATGCTTACTGATGAGATAATAGAGTGAGACTCAGCCAGTATGTCAACAGTGCATATGTCAGACTTTCAGTCTCATCATTATGAAGTGACGGGCCTAATGATCTGATAATGGGCTGACACGTGTAATGGCCCATCTCAGTGGAATCGATGCATCTTTCCAGCACTAAAGCAGAAAAGTCCCAGAAACACATATGCCCACACACACATAAATGTGCATCATTGGACATTAATCGTCTGATAGTACCGCCCACCTGGGTGTTACACACGTCACGACGAGGGCACTCATATAGACTTATAGTAAATCATAATTACAATGATGAAGGACCCTTTCAGCCGTCTTAATTGAAAACAAATGGGACCCAGGCCTGTCCCTAGTGTCTCCATGCTGATGAGTAGAAAGCTTTCCTCACAGGTTTGCAATCCCACAGGGAAGACAATAGAAGTATTTCAAAGATATCCAGAGGATTCATTCGTCACCATTATACACAATTACAAACATGGAGGATGTACACACTTAGTAGCTGTAGTATTTTATACTTGTGTAAAAGCAGCAAATCTGCATTCATGCACACACTCCCATCAGGTCAGAGGGTCTCATTTCAGAGGTTTGTACCATCTCCAGAGTCTCTACTTTGTACTCAGATGCACACATTAGTGTAGTATCCCTTTCACAAACAACACACTCCCTCTTCCCTTACACCAATTGATTTATCCATAAAAGCTCTTTGGCTTCTCCCGTCCTTCTTCTCTAAGTAATTACCTCATCCCTCCCAACAGTAACAGTACTCCCCTCCCTCAACTCTCCATCTTCCCTCATATCCACATGAACCACAACAGGGGTCAAAGCTAGCATCATCCCAAGTGGCATGGTGGGATGTCCCCAAGGAGAGCTGGGATGCAAATAGGGTGGGGAAAAAGTATAAATAAAACCATCAGCTGAAGGAAATACAGGAAGAAAAACGACATCTGTCAGACCGCCCCCACTCCAACCCTTCACCAAAAGTCCTGGTAACACATTAGTATTGGACCCTGGTTAAATGAGCGACCCTATCCTCCCTTCATCCATCTATCCATCCAGAGGAATGGTAATGACCACGGAGAGGCAGAGCCCCTGCTGAATTAAACATTTCCTTCCAATGAGGATCTGATTTTACCCCTTTGGATGCCGGAGCAAGGCAAAAAAAATTCTGCTGACAGAGGTACTTTATCATCGTGCAGCTCAGGTGCATTGGAGGTCAATGACACAGACCCAGCATTGTTCTAATATATTCCATCTCAGGGCAAATTAGATGCATTTCGCTGTGAATCCTCAGTTTCAGGGTCAAGCCGCAACTGCCCCCGCAATTTATTTGACTGCCAGATTCAGGCCGCCTTTTCTGAGGAAGCGGCACGTGCCTAGCCCCATAATGTCTGCAAAACCAGGGTCCAATCTCCCTAAAGTGTTACCCAGGAAATCCCATGTGATTTAAACTATCTCCCCCGTTCATCTTTCTGTACCTGTGAATTACTTTCTGTTTTTTGTGCAAGCTAACCCAGGGAACATGACTGATTTATACTCTTTGCTCTTTCTCTCCCTCTTTCCATGGTTTCTCTTCTTCCCTTACCCCTTCTTCCTCTTTCTTCTTCATTTCTTCCTTATGTCTCATATATCAGGTCGCCAGTTGACCATCTTCAACAGCCAGGCGTTCATCAAAATAGGTGGTGGAGAGAAGGGGCGCCACTTCCAGGGTCAGATCTCTGGCTTGTATTATAACGGCCTGCAGGTGCTCAAACTGGCAGCCGAGGGCGACCCCAACGTCCAGAGCCAGGGCAACCTGCGGCTGGTGGGGGACGTGCCCTCGGTGCTCACCACTGACACCACCTCCACCACCCCGCTGGCTGATATGTCCACCACAATCATGGAGACCACCACCACCATGGCCACAACCACCACCCGCAAACAGCGCTCGCCCACCATGAGGGACAGTGTCACACAGGTGAGCAGTGAAGAGTGTATGATCGACGCTTGTGTACACGACTCATTCCATCCCGCTAAATAGATCATAGCTAAAAGCTGGCGTTTGAGTCACTGAGCCAGTGCAGTATCTTTGAATTGACTTACTAAAGTTCCAAAAGTGCCAAAAACAATATATGCAAGATTTAACAGCTTTTGGAGGACTAGATGCACATTTCAAATAATTGTTTACGTCCACTTCCAGGGCAACAGTCTCATTTTCAGTGCAGTGTTTTTAGCCCTCAGATTGCCCTCACCCTGAGGGGGAGTCACAACAGCTTTGTGTGCGGTCCTATTAGCCCAATCAACACTGCAATTTTGATTTGCTATTAGAAGATACAGCTGACTAATCCCCAGACATGTTAGGCTGCTGGAAATAACAGAACACCCAGGCAGAGCAACAAAGCCTGGAGGAGTGGACAACGTAATGAAAAGGAAAGCATGCAGCAGTAACAGCACAACAACTCAGGCTACCATAAGCTTATATGTATGACTCTCCCTCACACCCATGTGAAAGACTATGATTTATAGGCTGATGATTATCCCCATGTGTTGACGTTACCGTCATGCTACCTAACAATTAGCAAACATTAGGGAAGTGCTGTTGCCACACACTGGAAAACAGAAGAAGCAGGTCATCCAGACCTCCTCTCATAAAAACACATAATAACAGGCTCCATATGCTCCAAGGGAAGAATATGTTCTAGTTCCTGGCCAGTATCATTAGCTCTTAAGCTGTGTGCTGTGCAGAAAACACCTTGCTGCGAGTAATTATTGGTAGAAGTGCAAGCTTTTGCCCCATGTCTACGACAGTATCTACATTATGTCAGCTATTTCTGTACTGTAACAGCTTAAAGGCGTCATTTCATACTGTCAACTTCAACTGTCCAGCAGACTTTTATGATGTTGCAGGAAACCAAAAAGATGAGGTCCCAATTAGCAGCACTATATGTCTCCCATTCAGTTGTGTTCATTAGCGCTGCTTCATGTATACCGAGGCTCATCTATGAACAGTCTGAAAGCCACTCGTGTCGTCCATGACTTCCTCCATCAGCTGATTCTAGATATATTTCGACTAGCTCACTTTTTGTCCCTTTATCATCGTCTCAAACCTTTGCAGAATCCATCCTTTGAAAGTGCTATCCGTCTCATTTTTAATGAACACAGCTCCGCCAATTAAATTCAAGGTGAGGCTGTTGATGGCACGAGAGCTCAATCCATGCCACTTTGTATTGCAAACACACAGTTCAAAGAAAATTGGAATGTTGGTGTTGCATTAACGCCTGCTCCTGCTTATTTCTTGTTGCTCATTTTCCTTTGCATTTGGAGGAAAGTCACTTAATGAAGCCTCATCAAAGCAGCGCTCTGATTGCGGCTGACAGAAACTATGAAAGTGTTCCTGTTCAGCCAAGCATATTCTCAGTGGTGGCTGAGCCTGCCATGTCATTACGAGCAAGTGAGCTTTGGGGGATTTAAAGATGGGTCAAAGCTCCTTTAAAGACAACACTTGCATGTGGTCAGTCGGCATGACTTATTTAGATGAATGGTATGTGGTTTATTATTTCTGCATTTTCTTTCTAAACATGAGATCAATGGAACCTGACCCAAGATGTCACATGTAACCATCCCCTCAGTTCATTATCATATCTCTGGCCTCCAGACTTCTTGGCGGAAGTATTCTTCCTTGTTCCATATCATGAGCTTTTATAGCAGGGGTCTGCGATTGGAAATTGACGGCCCTGTTTGATAAGTTATCAGGCAGTATTTTAGTGCAGCAAAGGACTCTGAGCGCTGTCTTCTTCTGTTTTTACAAGCCTTAATGTGTGCTGCATTTGCTGACTGACGTTCATGCTGGGTCATAAAGAAGCAGACTCCCACCTTTAAAGTGCCTTTTATTGCTAAGAATCTATTTTCACCTAGTGTAGACATATTGTAACAGTTCTTACTTTATTATTGTTATGTACCCAGTGAAATGTAGTTTATTGTCACAATGGCCTAGAATTGCTTTAAAGATATGTGCTTGAGAATGAATATCACCAATGAGTCACTCATCCACATGCTGTAATGATCCAAGATATTTTGCCCTGCGCACAAAAACATTATTGAGGCGTCGAGTTGGCTGACGCAGATCATTCAGACGGTCCCAGTGTGACTGAATAATGTTTATTCTGGAATTTGTTGTTATTTGGGAGGCGGTCCTGAAGGCCTGGCAAGCTCCTCTGCTCCCCCTCGACAGACAGAAAATGAAAGGGGAAATAATAAATGTTCCTAAAACTGTTATGTCAGATTAAGCAAAACATCATGAAAGGTTTGGGATTTAATTCATTTCTAATTTCTCTTCAAATGTGTGCAGTGGAAACAGTGGGAAAGCGTGTTGAGCTTCACTTAAAAACAGCATGGTGGCTGTAGTGTGATCATAGGCAATTGACAACTTTTACAGATGACGTTTTTTGCATTTATTAGTGCATCTGAAGAAAGACAGGAAGAGAGTGGAGGCAGATGTGTCAGTCTTAAATACTGCAAAGAATAGAAAATCAGTAACCATGCTTGTTTACCTTCAACATATACAATAAATAAGAGGAGTGGATACATCTGTGATAGTTATTTTAATTGTGTATCATCCTTTTTTGATCTGAAACAATTTAAAGAAATATTGAACATAGTGCAGGATAACTTTAGGGTCTACAACTATAAGAGAAAGGAATTTAAACCATGATTTTAACATATAGATTGCAGCTGTATACTGACAGTCAGTGCTGTGCTATAAAGACATACGTATATGTCTTTAGAGTATACTCAGTCCTTGGGCATTTCATAATCTATCCTAAAGAGCCTGTGGTGTTATTTTGTGCTAGAGCAAACATGGTAATAGCATTTTAAATACTGCGATTCGGCAAAGCTAACAACTATGGAGCTCTAATGAATATCCCCAGCTCCCGCCAAGCCACAGCGGAGACAGGCCAGGGTGGCGGAAAGCAAGAGAGCGGAAACACACATTTCAATTTCTCCAAAAGCTCTGAGCTACCGGCCGCGCTGCAGCTTTGATCATCGTCGAAAAATGTTCTTTGATGCTTAGAATAAAAGATCTACCTTTTGATGTGTGTGTGTGTGGGGTATAATCCTGCAACCCCTACATACTGTGGGTTTCCATGAAACAGTTGGCAGTCATCTCTTGTCTCGCTCTGACCCAAATGTTGTGTTTGGGTGTTATAAAACTAAGATCACAAGCTCCTGCTCGCTGCTACTGTCTTCAGTCGAGAGCACTCCCAGGTGCTGGAGATCTCTGTGATTGGCTGGATGGATGCAAGGTGTTTGAAGTTGTCTCTTCATGGATTCAACTTGGAAGTGGATAGGAAAAGTTCGGACCAGGTCAAACGGGAGTATTAAGCTCCTCCTCTAGCAGTGCACTGGGCCTTGTGACAATTAGTTATTTTCACTCTGCACGGATGCTGAGGCCGATTCAGCTATTTGACATTCAGTCAGCAAGTAATTGTGTTATTATGGCCTCAAGCACTCTGCCGTACTGATGTCCAGGTCGCTCAATTTAAAGATGTGCACATTTGAATTGATTCATGATGTTCCGTGTTATTTGGAGCGAGGAAAACAGTAGCATTGCATGGATGGAATAGAAATGTGAGTGCATGTTCGACGGAGATGTTCATTTGGCCAATTTGAGAGCCAGGTGATGTAAACAAACACTCACTGTGGTTATGAAATGATTACAGGGCCCCAGGCCCTGGACTAATAACGACAATGTGGCTCTTGAGTCAATTAGGCTGATAAAAGCCCCCGTTTTTTCTATCGTTCACCCAATCTAGAATAACAACCACACAGTGAGGAGGGGGGGGGGGTCAGGGTACAGCCTTGTGAGTCGTGTAGTAGGAAGCTGGGTCCAGATAGACACACATTGATTTGTTGGTCGGTGTTTGGTCAGATGTATTTTCTACATTGACTTCAAATCATACAAAAATAACTAATAGGAAAATCAACTCACCATAGTATTTTCAGTAAATGTCCTACTACTAAAACTGACCAACAATAATCATCATGTCACCTAAGAATTTTTGTTTACCTTCGATCTTCCTTAAGTTGGCCTCTCCTTGATTATCTTTTGTGTCAGTGGAGAGGAGAGCCTCGCTGTGACTTCTACAGAATCCTCTCAGATGTTCTGTGTATCCTCTACTCCTATCAAATGTGTCCTGACTGTATCTGCTCTGCTTTGTGACTCTGTGCTTTCAGAATGCGGATGACCTCTTGGTAGCATCAGCTGAGTGTCCTAGCGATGACGAAGATTTGGAGGAGTGTGAGCCTGGAAATGGTGAGTCAACTCAGGAAGTTCTGCCTTCACAATACTTGCAATCCAAAAACAAAAGAACTCGCCTAGACTACTGCAATCTCCCTTCCTCCACTTTTACGTGACGGCAAACCTCTCTGTATGCAGCTCTGGTTGTCCATGTGTACCCTGAACCCTTCTTTCTTATTGGTTTTTAAAGCAGCAGCCACTTCTCTGCACCGTGGTTCATAAATAGCACCAATCTCCTGCCCACATTTGAACAAGACAGGACAGTTCCAGCGTGGAAACGCAGCTTGTTCAGGCCCGGTGGCTGTCAGTGGGAACAGAGGGTCAGCTAATGTTCTGACACCATGACAGGAGGTGCATGTCAAAGGCCATGCGTGTCACTCCCTGCTCTGTGCTTTCTAGCTCTATTAGGCTGGTCATACTTGAACACTACCAAGAACCACGTACAATAAAATAATGCGCTTCAAAGACTACTTCCTCTACAAAGTTGTCAAAATAAAAATAGGCAGAACTACATTTAAAGCCATTTTATCCTGAAAGATTGTCTCTGACTAGATATCTGTTGAATGGACGGATTTAAATGACGTGTTAATTGAAACAACACTTGCCTCATATTATTAAAACAGTGTGAGTGCACTTGCTCCAGGTGCTGGAGATCTCTGTGATTGGCTGGATGGATGCAAGGTGTTTGAAGTTGTCTCCTCGTGGATTCAACTTGGAAGTGGATAGGAAAAGTTCAGACCAGGTCAAACGGGAGTATTAAGCTCCTCCTCCAGCAGTGCACTGGGTTAGTGGGCAGTGTTAACTTCTTGGAATTCAATTAGTACAACGCTTTTTTTCTCTTGAAAGCCGTTAATAACACCTGGGGCGTTTGCAATCTTTTCAAATGAGTTCATAAATGCGCACTTGCTTTGCATATTATAGATCGCTGTGTAGATTAAGTAGATTAACATATTCTGTAAAATACATGAGCATCTCAAATGAAAAATTGTTTATTATTAGATTCAAAGGAGGAGAGAGGGACTTTGCTTTGAAAATACTTCAGGACACTTTTGGACACATTTAGCATTTCACAAGAGATAACTGAACAATTAGCACATGGCGACAGGATTAGATTAGAACTCTCTGTGGCGTTAATATGATATGATGATGCTAGGAAATAGCATATTAAGTACGCTTCATTTGAACACATTGTCACTCTGCCAAAAGCATATAAGTAGAGACACTTTATACATCGTACCACTTTAGTTCCCCAGACCCATCCTCGGAAGAAATTTCTGCTGAAAAAATAAAAAAGGCTTTTACAAAAACAGAAATGTAAACATCCTTTTTTTTAAATGCCTCAGTAATCTGAGTATGGGTTTGACATGATTAAAGGAAGGCTCCAGTCATTAGATAGTTAATAAAAACTTCAGTATTTAGTGAAACATTATGTTTAAACCATACCCTGAAGAAATCAGCGATATTCCCCAGTAAATAATGATTTTATTGCTCTTTTTTATCAAAACCTGTATATTCCTTCAGGCAGCTGCCATTTTCAGTAGTCACATGATCCGAAAAACTAGGTCGTGACGTCATCTATGCGTTCACTTTGTAAACACACGAACAGCTCATTCGACGAAAACATGGCGGAGTATTTGAGTTCGGACTCGTCAGCCGAGGAAGAAGTTTAGAAAAATAAAGTCCAGGCGGACTTACTTTGAATTATCACTATAGGTATTCATTCCATCCAAATAAAACTTGTAAAAAAAATAAAAACATACTCTGTTATCCTCTTAGGCCCCACGGACCCGGTTCCGGGGCCGAAATCGCGTCATTTGCAGAAAACAACGTCTAAGGAACCTTAATATTTAATAAACTATGAATATTTTATATCCAGATATAAAGGGAAAAAAACTAATTTAACTGATCTTTTTCATTTTTTTCTTCAAAAAAAACACACAATGCTAACAGTGAGCCTCTGAATTAGCCGCGAGCGAAAAATGCTAACCTATTACTGCACCGAAAATCACTCCTAGCTCCCTTATTACTTATCCTAGCTGCACATCCAACACATCGTTTATGATCGTAAAGACACAGAATCTAACGGTGCTCACCTCAACACTGAAAGATACAAACTTGCGACGTTATCAACAAAAACGTACATCAAAACAAGTGGCGCTAGGTACTAACATGCGCTAGGCTAACATGGCTTACCTTCGTCTTTGCCTGGTCTAAACTGGTCTTCAATGGCATTACAACGATAAAAACGATGATGTAGTTAATCCATAGGTTAATATCCAATGTGACTGTGTCCCCTTTGAAATGTTCTGATCTATAAGCAATACAACTGCAATTCCGTTATCTGCTGTCCGCTCTGTGCTCCGTGCGCTCTGGGTCCTGCAATTCCTGCTTCCTTCCGTAGTAAACAATAAGTAAAGTCTGCTGAGTAATGTGCTTACGCTGGCTGGCATTGGCAGTGCACTGCATCCTCATTAAGTAATGGTTGATTAATAAATCCCATTTTATGTTTCATCATACTCTCAGAGTAGTCGTCCGGAAACTTGAAATGTTCGCTGCATACATGCGCCTGTGGATCTTTCAGTTCGTGCCGAACACATTTCGCTAGCCACTGCCTCCGAACATACTTCCTACGCTTACCCGTTGGCAATAGATGGCCGTGGATTGTTCCTATCCGAATTGTGGCAATGTTTCGCGATACAATGAGGCATATTTCAATAGAATTGTGACAGTAACTAGAGTAAACAACATGAACAAAGCACATACGTCAATTTGTCCTCGACACCAAACGCATAGTTCACGTCACTTCCGGTAAAATAAGTCATGTGACTCGTCAAAATGGCGCCGCCCACAGGGTTGATGTTATTTCGGTAATTAATCAGCTTAAAATCACTGATAACCTCATCGGATTAAAAAAAATAAAAAAAAGACTGGCAGAGACTGGTCTGTTTTATCGGATGATAATTATTTAAAAATGCGTGTCATGAGCATTGCCTCCCTTTAAACAACATAAAGGCCAGATTGCCACCAAATCTCTTGAATGTAGACAACCTTGATTCGACAAAAGTGTCAGCAGCACAATGTCTTATAAATAAAAAACACTTCATTTTCCTAGATTTAAGTTTTTTTCAGGAATGGGGATTCTGTGGTTTGAATAGAATATATATGTTGGACTGCAAATGGCAGGAGATTATAACAATTGGTGTGTTTGTGTGAGCAGAACGGCTCTGAACCTGTGCTGAGAACTGGAGAGCAGCATTCTCCCGCGGTTTACTCTGTAGGTGGTGTGGACCGAAATAGAGACTCAATTCCCTTCTTATCAGAAGGAGAAATGAGAGTTTTTCACTGGATGCTCTGCCCAGGCTTAATCTCCCATGGGGAAAAACAACTCTCTCTCAATGCCCACACAAACACACACATACAGTGGCAGACATGCTCCCCTTACCAGACAGACACTTGTCTCTCTCTCTCTGTGGGTGTAAAATGTTCTCTCTCCTGAGAAACAACAAACATTCTCCGTATCACACCTTCCAGATGCCACAAGAGTTCCAGCGTGGCGAGCCAGCCGGGTCGGATAAGCCTCGGTGAAAACTACTTAGAAGGAGAAGAGAATCAACATTGTCCCCTCTCCATCCCAGCTCCACATGCCTGTCGCCATTGTGTGAGAGCACCAATTCCCAGTGTTGTTCATTTCATGACAGAATGCAGCTCCTTTTTATTGAACTGCCTTCAGGAATGAAAAATGTTAAGCCGGAGATTTTCTATTAATCCGAGCAAGATATGATGCTGTGAATTCAGGGATCGATACTCCTTCCTGCAGCACATACAGCTGGTCACCTGCAGAGGTAGCACTGTGCTGTTTCAAAGGGATGCAACTGGTTTTATCACAAGTGCATTCTACTAGGGCATTTTTAGCTGGCTGGTGCCAAATGATGACCCTCAGGCAATGATTTGGATGCAGCCGAGTTTGCTGAGAAGCTCAGAGTGAATGCAGAATAGACAAAAGCACAGGGCACGGAGGAGAGGACCCCGATGAAGAGATGAGAAAGAGCTGGGAGCGCTGACCCTCTTTGAGATCTGTGTCACATTACTTTGCGCTCAAAGCAAAACAGGGACACGGGGGGAGAAAAAGGGGAGCGTGCGAGGGAGAAGGAAGAGGAAGTGAGAGAGGAAACACATTTGAGAGAGGGAACAGAGTGAAATTCTCATCAACGATTCTCGGCTTTGCCAAAAGGCTAATTCAACTTTGACTCTGTTAGGGAGCTTTAATTCCATCACCCAATGAAAGCTTTGCTTTTGGATCCTTCAGTGCTATTAATGAGCCGCTGTGAGAAGAGTGACAAGACCTAGGAAGTGGGCACAAAGATGAAACATGTGCTGGGGAGAAGACACTCAAAAACATATTTGTATATCCGTACGAACACGAGATGAGAAGCCGTCCATAGACACTGATTGTATTCACAGTAATACAGAATTAGAGAAGATATTATACACACGTCTGTCAAACAAGCCCGGCTCATTCAATCTCTTTCATTTTCTCTCCATTCTTCACTCTACCTCAGCACGACCTCACTTCCCTTCTCTCTCGCTCACATACCTCCAAGCTAGTTATCAGTCCTAGGATGTTTTAGCGTTATATCGCTTTTACTCTGACAAGATCACAGCTTTGAGGATCTCCTCAATAATTCATCAGGCGACATGCTATAGAGGCAACCTGCAAATGTTCTTTTTAGGTCGGCGAGTGAACCTATAAGATTGGATGATGGATGAGGGATGACCCAGAGCGCTGAGCCGCTCACCCAAGTTTGGGTGTCAGTTGTTTGTCAGCGTGATGCTTTATTGATCTCCCTCAGCTAGCCATCCAAGTAAACAAGCCCAGGTTTGTCATACAGGTTAGAGACCGGCAATGTAGAGGATCGAAGCAGTGTCCTCTGGATGATCTCTACACAGTACACCATCCCCCCCCTCTGCTGGGCTTAAAGACTTAAAGTGCAGTGACTAGTATATAAACATTCTTCTGATTGGACCAAGTTCTGTAGAAGAACACTTTGCTAAGGCCAGTCAGTGTTAATGGAAGTAAAAAAGACATTGTGTATCCACCTTTGATTCAGATCTGCTTTTCATTTGAATGGGTTCTTCCTTGGTCCATGTTTCACCCTTCTACAAAGTTTAATAAACATTAAGCTCAGAGTTTTTCCAAAATCAATCAAATTAAAGCTAAAACATATCCTCAGCGGCTGCGGTAATAATGCTCTGAAATCGTATGATCACAAGTACAAAGAAGAGAAAAGTAAAATTACAAATGATAAAATATGGGAACAATAACAAATACTAATTATTGAGTTATAATGTATGACAAGTTTATTTGTAGAGCAACAATGAACAACAAGACAATGTAATGTTTCTGACATGATAGAAAAATATCTGCATTCAGTTACAGATCAAATAAATAATCCTTGAATTACATAACTTGAATCAACATTTAATAAACTCAGTATTTATCTAGCATTATATACCATACATAATATATTCACCATTTATATGTATATGTGTTGCCTCCATAGCAATGATTATTCAGACGTCTTGTAACCATTTCACTTCCAAACTAATTATTGGTGAACTTAATCATGATGAGTATTGCTATTGTAAAGTTGTAAAGTATTATTGAAATAACATTTCTTATTGGATGTGACCCCGGAGCAGTGACTGTGGGTGTTAACATTTAAAGATGTCACTCCAAGGAGAAGCTTTCAGTAGAGAAGAGAGCAGATGTAACGTTCATTTGTGAAAAAAGAATGCTGCCAGTTTGAATGATATTTCCTTCAGTGCACAATTAAGAATCTGATGGCATACAACATCATATTTGTTTTTGCAGTAAATGTTGTTGGAATCGGGTATTCTCTGCATGTGTGAGATTATACCACAGTGAGGTTGAGACCCGACTTTGTTTCATAATAAATCCTGTTACCTGAAAGCGACAGCTGTAAATGCAGTATTCGTAAACAGTTTATGGAGTCACATATATGAGGAAAACATGCCCAGATTATATTATACATGTAGCTATTGCTTATTGAAGCAAGCTAGGAAAATATATTATTCTCGGCCACGCGGCTGGATTTCCCATCTGCTGTCCAATCAAAGCTGAATTATAGAATGCTCAAACTCCAAAACAACCTTTTCGCTCTAAATATTTCAAATAGATGTGAGCGGGGCTACGTGAGCGGCGCTACGTGAGCGGCACAGTAACGATGTTTGTCAGGAGAGCCACATCGATGCATCAGGATCCATCTGCCCTGGTCTCCTTCTGAGTGAATGGGTCATACTGGCAGAGTGGCGTGTGGGTAAAGATAAAGAAGACATTTCATCATGTGGGCTAAACGTGGCTCCACTGCCTCAGCTGTTCAAACAATCCAGTCAATCAATCAGCTGAATATCTGTAACAGTGTTAATGAAAGAGGCACCCCCACACTGGAATCATGCTCAATGTATTCCTCAGCCTTCCAAAACATGTCTGATTCAACCAGTGATAGTCGTTATGATGCTAAATTAAATACCTCAATATCTCATGTGAGTTACAATGATATAATATGTTAAAAATCTATCACCTGATTTTCTTCAGTACTGGGAACACGTGCCTGTGGGTATTAACTGAGCAATCTGAGCTGCATACAGAGGGTGCTGTCGTGGAGAAGGAAGAGCCAATTGAAGCTGTTGATTGGTTTACACTAAGGGTGCAGTAGGCTTTGGTCACACAACAGGAAATGAAGCGATGGCTCTCTTGATTACTGCCTATAGTGCTGAGACGGCTCTCTGTGTGCGAGGGCTGAGCTTCATTATGTGTCCAGTAGCCTGTCATATGAGATAATGTCCTCCTGGCTTCGGCTCTAATATACGCAGGGTACAGCAGAGTGATGGGAGCTATTTGTCATAACAATCATTTACTGTTAAACGCTTGTATATAAACGTTTGCCTCCAGAATATCTAAAAAATCTTCAGCTCAGTTCTATGGGTGCATACGAGGGAGACAGAAACACTCGAGTTAAGCAGTGTTTCTGATTCTGCCACGATTGCAAGAAGTTAACAATAACAAGTACATCCGTTTGCAGTGTCAGCCGCACACTGCAAGTGGGGCACAGTGAGAGGTAATTGGGGGGCTGCATGTAGAGAGCTTGAAATTGCACTTGCGGCATCTCTACCATTTTCACAGATAGTACAGATAGTGACACCACCGTCTTCCATTACCTTCAGTCATATGTACATACTGTATCTCTGAGGAATATCTAGCAGGTGCCCTACAGTTAATATTATCTTCTCCTGTGACAAGTTATCTCGTAGATTTGTAGGAATGCACAAAACTAGTCAAATGTGACACCGCTCACTGCTGTCCTCTCAGCCTTCAAGGTGAAACTCAGCCTTCACACACAGAAAGAAAGGAAATATAATGGAGAGAAATAACTTGAGCATTGCCATGGAAACTAGAAGGGTTGAAGAATAATGTTTTTTTCCCGTTTTCACATTTTGCTTCATTTCAAGGCCTGTTTCTGTGTGTTGTTAAATGCTGCTGTGTTTAGAGGCTTGGTTAACCCAGCACATTGCCCTTTGTAACAAAGCCTTTGCCATTCTCTGAGTGAAAATGTATGGTTGTGTAACTGACTGAGGTTTGAGGGGGCTTGAGCGTTGCTGAGCTGACAAGGTCATGGGGGAGTTATTCCAAACCCACCCCCCCCTTAAAAAACAACCCATAATCCAACCCTAACTCTGATTTACCTCATCAAATGAACAAAAAGCCACAGTCATGATTTTATGCTAGTGATGTTGGCCTTTACTTGGTCATGTTTTGCTGTTACCTTCCCCTTTTCTAACCCAAGGATGTTCAATAATCTACCCCCCCCCCCCCCCCCCCCCCTCCTGCCATGTTTTCAAATGTTTCCTTGACTGTTAACCTAACCTAACTAATATGCTAGACTTGACAGTAAAATGTAGTGTATAACCTGATATTCTGCCATGTTCTTTTAACATACTCCCAATATGTTTAACCCTTAACTCCAGCTGTGTAACTTTTATAAGTAATAATGTTATACACCCAATAATTATTTAATTTGGGTGTCCGTATCACAGTGGGCTCAAATCAGATGACGTAACTGAAGCTTGACAACTAATTCTGGCTCATTAAGACTAACTGTTGACTTGTGTTGGTGGCTGCTCACTGTTACTGTGCTGTTGGGAGGGAGGGGGGGGCGTCAATGTGTAACCTCTCTCAGTGCTGTAGTGTGTGCTGAGAGCTGGGTTAGGAATGAGGGGCAGCAGTTTCCTGCAGCAGCTCCTGAAGGCTAGCATACAGATTAAGCTAATTATAAATGAGCCGTAGAAACCCCCATGCCCAAAGGGGGAACTGGGATTGAGCCCATTCTTCATGAGAATTCTGAAATAAGCAAGAATGAATTATTCAAATGTCTTAACGTGAGGATTATTTATCACCTATTACAAAATAATCAAATAAAGAGGAGAGGAGGTAACGACTGGGTGGGGGGGGGGGGTTGTTAATCACTATCCGAGAACAATCTTACACAGCTTTCTTTTTGTAATTTTTTTTTCATGCAAAAATCATGCGGCCAATTTGTTGATGTAAGTGACCTGAACCTCGTGGTTTGCTATCTTATTTAACCAATCACAGCAAGACACTGAGCGCTAGTGCAGTCAGCATAGGTTAGCCTAGCGTTAGCAGTGAAGAATAGGCTGTGTAGAGTGATGTTAAGTTGTTCAGTGTAATATGTAGTCTACTTGTATCCTGTGTTAGTCATATAGCATGTAGGTCTATGCAGCATAGGTCAGGACAGGTGCAGCTTTATGTCTGACAGATAGTATTTATTCAGCTCAGAGTTAGTCAGCATATTACCTTTTTAAATAGAACAGACTAAACTTATAAACCTAACCTGATGTAAAGTGTTAGTGCTGTTCTAATTCTGGTGTTCATTAAAGTGTTCTTCTTCTGTTCATCTGGTGGTGGGCTCTCACCCCGGCGGTCTCTAACACTCTGTTTCTCGTTGTCTCTTTCTTGTCCTAGGAGGTGAATTAGTGTTGCCCATAATAACGGTGGACTCCTTAGCCCCCCCATCCATCGCCACACGCTACCCAGTAATCCCCCCACCCCCCACCACCTACCGCCCTTTCCTCACCTTGCTCGAAACCACCAAAGAGTCCTTCCCCCTGCCAAACGGCCGGCCCCCCTGCTCCCTGGACCAGGAGGACTGCGGGGAGACCATCGAGGTGTCGGCGTACGGCTCGGGGGAGATGACCGAGTCTGATGACGAGGACTATTACAAAAACTCCCCCCTGGTCACCGACAGGACTGTCCTCCCCCCTCCCCCAGGTGTGGAGGGCAGTGTCCAGAACCCCCGGGACCGCCATTTCTCCCGCTCGCCCAACTCCCACCGCCCCCCCCTGTACTCCACCCCCACAGCCAACCCCGAGCAGCTCAGCCCCCACATCAAGCCGGCTGCCGGCGGCAGCAGCAGCAGCAACAACAAGATTCCCGCTGGGAAACTGAACACCCGGGACCAGGTGCTGCTGCCGCCGGCCCACCCCTCCTCAGACCCGGGACACCGCAGAGTCCCAGGAATAACATACCCACCCAATTTCCCCCATGTTCCCACTCCAGACCCCACGTCTCCTGAGCGGGGGCTCCCGGGCGCCGTGGAGGTGCAGCAGTCCAGCAGCACCACGGGGATGGTGGTGGGCATCGTGGCCGCCGCCGCCCTCTGCATCCTCATCCTGCTCTACGCTATGTACAAGTACCGCAACCGCGACGAGGGGTCCTACCAGGTGGACCAGAGCCGCAACTACATCAGTAACTCAGCCACGCAGAGCAACGGAGCGCTGGTGAAGGAGAAACAGCCCAGCACTGCCAAGACGGTCACCAAGAACAAGAAGAACAAAGACAAAGAGTACTACGTCTGAGAGCCGCCGCGACACACAGAGACAGACAGCAGCTGCACCTAGAGAAGGGAGGAGACCAGAGAGAGGAGGGGGAGAGAAAGGCAAACAGAACAGAGGGTCATTCATTTCCTACTCAGTATTGTCTGGTGGCCATACATTACCTATTCAAGTCTAATCAGAGGGAGGCAGCAGGTGACATCATGCTTCTGCTCCAGCATCTCTTAGATTGATTTACTTCTTATTAAATGTTAACCACGGGGTGGAATTAAGGAAAGGCCTCACATCTCCACACATACTGTGCCAACGACCATGTACCAAATGCTGATAAAACAGTGATTTATGTCTCAGCACATGACAGGTTCATTAATATCTAGAGTACTGTAGAAAGCACCACCATCAGTATTTGTGTCATGGTCTGTCCGTCATTTTGAGGCGAGCTCGAGTTCCCCTCCGACAGTATCAACATCTTATTTTCCACCTGTTTGAATGAGTAACTCGACATGGCTCTGTAAAATCAATATACTGCCAGCTTACAGGAACATCGTGTCAAACCCAGCTCCCCCTCTGGAAGTGTTCCACGTCTCTGATCTCTTACCTCCCGTCGCATCTCTCTCTCTCTCTCTCTTCCTCTCGTCGGATCGTGCGCTCTGTTTCTCTCCTCGTCCGGTGCTCAGCGGCCGATGCAACGTAAACTCTGCCGTGTTTCAAGCATGTAGTATTCATTTACGAAAAAGAGATAAAAACTGTTTTTCTTTCTGTGGAGTTTAAAAAAACAAAAAATACGATGATTGATGATCATAACAACGTTAAACGTAGCAATTATGTGAGATACCACCGCTCCAACATACCGGATGCTAACTTGTACGTTTAGCCGCCAAAAACTTGTTGAGGCCAACCCCCTTGGTCGTCCTTTGTTCCAGCAGATCTGTGTCATGTGTTTCGAGGCTCCGAGGCGCCTCCTAGTGGGCCAGAAGAGAAACTGTGTCACGTCCTTACTAATAACCGAAAAACTGAAAAAACTGAAAAAACCTCCAGCAGTCAAGATGAACTCTGTTCTATATCATTATAATTATATGTATAGACGTTGCAGAAACTATGGACCTAAAGCTTGAGCGAGTGGAAAGGAGAGTACGCTGTTAATGCACAGCAAGACAGACTTTAGGATTTGTGACGTCAGAACAGTAACACAGCCCCCCCCCCCCCCCCCCTCATGAACAGTACGGCTGATGCAGCCATGCTGCAAGACTCCGTCACTTTGGTTTGCTCTTTTCTTTTTTATTTGAGTCTCTGGTGACATGAGACATTTTAGGGAAATTCCTAATCAATTCTTGCTGGAGTTCTGCTGAGGAGAGACATACCTTGCAGCTGAAGAAGCGACTGTGTCTTCCCCCCCCCCCCCCCCCCCCCCCCCAGCCTGTCTGGACTGATGGCAGCCAATGGGCAAAGCAAACTCTGTGGGAAGAGCACACAAACGGCAGTTCCCTGGAAGATGTACAGCAGAACTCTAGTATTCCAATTTTCTCAACTCTATTAAAAAAGAAAACTGTACCATGAAAAGAAAAGAAAAACCCTGAAAAAAGTTTGTGAAATGTCTAAATATTTGACTCTCATCCCATTACTAAGAGAAGTGTGTTTCCCCTACTATCATTCCTGTTTGGAGAAAAAAATTACTATGATTCTGGGAAACTGAAATGTCTATGTATTTTCTTTTGGTAATTGAGCAAATGTGATTTGGATTATGAAATGAAACCATGAATTCTCCTTTTATTCCATCTGTCATCCTCGATCGAATTTTTCGTCCTGCATCTATTCCTTTTTCTCTGTATGACACATCGTATGTCCCCATACCGTGTGGAACAAGGCTCTGTCCATCCTTCATGTCTTTTTTTGATTTCTTTTATATCTAATTCTGTCTTCACGGCCAGAGACGAGATGGAAGCCATTTCATTTGACAGGCTCCATCAATTCACTGTCCTGCCACGTTCGTCTGGTTTCTCCATCCCCAGCATACTCCTCCCAGTATCTTCCTGTTCTTTCTAAATGTTATTGTAAAGTGTTCCAGTGAGATGACTCTAAATATGTGTACATTAACAGAGGGAATACACTTGGTTATATACTTCTTACTCCCTGTGTCGCGTGGTCTCTTTATCGTGTGAGTGGACAGTTACAAAAAGCAAACTCAACCCACCAAATCTGGGTTACACTTAGTTTACAAACTGCAGGTTGAAGCTACTATATGTGCAGTTTGATCATTTGGCTTGGGGAGTTAACAATAGTCTAATCTGTGCTGGGAAAGATGTTTGCTCACCAGCGTTATTTAATCAAGCTAAATTCTAAAGTGTTTTTAAAATGTTAAATGAACTCGAAGATCGGATTCCTAACCATATGTTGTTTTAGTTTGAAGACCTCTAAGATAATGGACAATTAAACCTTTACAACTTGCTGGAACTAATTGAATTAAGTATTCATTTACTTTATGGTAGACAGTAATTCTGCAGTTTGAGACTTATACAAAGTGCTAGTGGTGAATATGTATTATCACTTACCCAAAGCGAGAGGCCTGGGACTTGCTGCCGTCTGAATTGAAACAATGGAAACAGGTATCTGCTAAACTGTCGTGCTGCGAACAGACTTCCTGTATAGTTTATTTAAAGCTACAGTGGCAGAAGGCCGTCTTTGTTCAAGAGCCAGGGTGTTGCTTGTCTTCAACACTCCTGACTTCACATCATCTATGTTTTACAGGTGTTGCTTGGCACACAGGAATAAATATATAAACCATGATACACGCATCACATATTTAGATCCTCCTAACGAAGACATTTCAACACCTCAAACTTTATTTCTTGCACTTAATTTGTGTGTGAAAAGAATCCGCAGTACCTACTTTTAGCTAAACAGACTATAAGAGTGCCACGTGGAATATGTGGACATGGATTTAAACACGGCTAAATCATTGTGTTACAAAATAAAGAAAAGAATCATTCCAGTAGAATCCTCAAAGCTCCCCAACAGGAACAAGATGCAGCTACAGAGACTCCTGTTGCTGACTGATTCACAGGTGAGTGCTGACGTTTCAGTGGTGAGTACTGTCATGGCTAGATGATAAATAATATCAAACATTAATTTAAAAGTCCCCTATTACACTGTTTTTCATCAATATATTAGAGGTCTCAGATATATACAAAACATGTCTCTGAAGTGTTTGGCTCCAAACACCACACAGATCATTGCAGCATTACCCATAATCCCCTCTGTTTCAGCCCTGTTTCCAAAGTGCTGATTCTCTGTCTGTTACTTTAGATGAAAATAAGGAGCCCCTCCCCACGCCCCTCTGAGAGACATTTGGTTACAAAGAACCCAATGGTGCTCTAGAGGAGATTCAGGTGATAAGGGGGGCTAATGGTTACACAAGACAAAACATTGTTAGGAGATCATAAAGTGGCCAAAATCTGATCAGCTCATTTTCAGACAGGTTTTTATAGAAATGGATCAGGACAAAAAGAGAGAATCTTTTTCCCTGAAACTTTCAGAGTCTCTTTCCACAGAGGGGACACATGTTGATGTATAAAAGACATGAAGAAGTTGATTTTGCATAATGGGTGACTTTAAATAATGTATTATTTAGGCTTCTTTCTAAAATATGTAATTTACTTGTAAAACTGGAGGCAGTCAAAGTATTTTCTCTGCAGTTGAGGTAAACACAGAACACATTTGGAGAACATAATGGACTGAACACATTTGACAAACTTCAGCAATATCATTTGGAATCTGTTGGTTGGGATTAAGATGTGAGAATAGGAGTTTCTTTCCAGTGACACAGGCCAATTTGACCTACTTAAAAATGATCTGCAATGGCTTACCATACACAATAGACGTTTCCTTTTGGTTGGCAGAGGCTGCTGAAGGAGAAGCCGTGTGAAGTGGACTGCACCAGCACATCAGCATCTCCTGTGAAAAGAGACAGGGTTAGCCATCTTGGTCTAACATCCCAGTATCAAAAAGCAGACATGTTTACTTGTTGGCAATAAAAAAAGTCGTTGCTATACTATGACCTTTTCTAATATTTCCTACGTACTATACTATGGTTTCATTTATTATATTTTCCACATACAATAATAACATATATGACAGTAAGTAGTATGTATAGGCTACTTTTCCACACACACAGTTAGACATTTATTCTGAGACATAGGCTACTATCTTTGACTATGAATATTCAGATCGGATTTTTTTGACACGCTGTACTATAATAATAATAATACATTTGATTTATATAGCACACTTTAAAAACAACGTCATCTCAAGGTGCTTCACAAAGCTATGTATATACTATGTTGTTTTTTACATATTTCCGACATCCTATACTATGTCGTTTTTCTGATATTTTCGACATACTATACTATTAATCTTTTTCAGATTTTCGACATTTCGTGAGAACGATGTCGTTTTTACACCTCCAAAGGTTCGATAAGTTTGAATATCCTGACAATCCTTAGATAGAATATCTTGAAATGTGTTACACACACTCATGGTCCATTTTATGGTTATTTGTCCAATTTCTTGGTTTATGACCAAATACCTGCAATAATAATGAATCTCTCACCGGCCTCAGTTGTGATCAGTGCTATTCAGCAAATATTAGTAAGCTAACACCAAGATGGTAGATGTGGTTAACACTTTTACTAGCTTGATGTCAACATAGCTTCGTCTCTATGAACACTAACCCAACACAAAACATTGGCACTTAGCCCCAACAGCAGGAGTTCTGTGCAGAGTCTAACCGGGAATCATTGAAGCCTAAAGCATATTTATATGGAGATAAAGCTGATCAGTTTGCCAACATTACTTCATATATAGGCTCTTTCAAAATGACCTCAATATTATGGGGATAATGTGTACTGATATGTACTATTTCTTTTCTCACAGTCCAATATCCTGCAAAATATATCCAGGTCACAGTTGTTACAAAAACATTATTTAGGGGATTATGACAAATGTTATCTCAAATGTACTCCCCAAAAAATTCAATACATAATTTGTCAGCCAGCAAGTTCAGCAGCCAGCAGGATATATAGTCTAAGGATTTATATCCTCCTCCATGCAGGACGATTTAGAGCCTTCTTCAGTTCAGGAGTACACACAGTATTAAGGAATGAAGTTGCTTTGGGCTAATTTAAGCTGTGCTTGTAAGGGAAACTTCTGCAGCAATGGAGAGTCAGGACTCAGAGAGACACGAGGAGAGTTGGAGCTTTGATGTCAAACAAAGATGTTTATTACAAGTCAAACGGCCGGAGAATTCATATCACAAGTCACACAGTCAAAGGCTCTGACTGCACGGGTGCTGGCAAATGATTGATTGTATTATTTGGTTTATTAAACATGGATAACATTTTAAAGTTAAATAAATAGTTTTGTATCATCTTTCATTGTGATCAATGTGAGCAATTTAGTGCCTCCTCTTCCCAAAGAGAGTGATTGTTCTACGATCCAGGTTTAAAAGGTTATGTTTGGGATCCCTCCACACGGATTGACTCATCACACAGAGAGACTGCATCAAGTCTGAGGCTCTGTTTGTATATCTGGAGCTGAGGTTAGAAAAGGTAAGGGGGGAAGATGAACAAGACTCCATTTAGTTTGGAGTTTCCTCCATATTTCATCATCCAATCTTATGATGTACCCTATGGCCGCTTTTCCCGTTTACTGACCAATCTGTCAACTAGTCGCTCTACGATAAGACATCTCAAATATTCCCAGACTGAACTCACACTCCTCCTACAGAGAGAGTTTTTTAACGGGCCTGCTCTGCACTTTATTCACCAAATTAAAAGAAGCCAAACACAAAGCAGTGACACAATTTCCCCACCGGCGGAAAGCTTGGCTGTAAACATGCCGGAGAAGCTGGCTTCTCAGAAATAATACAACATCACTGGTTAGACAATCAGCGATGACAGCATCTCCCTCGCCATGCACATCATCGGCATTGTCTCTGAGTGTGTATCTGTGCAGTATCAGAGAGACAGCTTCAGACTGTTTGTTTGTGAGGAGACGCTCAGATGGGCTGTGAGAGCTTTGGGTGTTTGTGTTTTCAGTGTTTACAAATGTGTGATCATGCACCCTAAGGCGGTGTTTCTGATAGAGGGGGGGTCCCGCAGGAACGTTTTCCCTAAAGACAAGCAGGCAGGCAATCCTCACATTCTGTCATCGAGCCGAGTACACTATGTGTCCACACCGGGGACATCCTGCTGCATTACAAAGAAAACAACACTTAAAGGTCCCCTATTATACTCTATTTCAACAATATATTACAGGTCTCAGATATATACACAACATGTCTCTGAAGTGTTTGGCTGAAACACCAAACAGATTATTGTCCCCTCTGTTTCAGCCCTGTTCCAAAAGTGCTGATTCTCTGTCTGTAGCTTAAATGCTGATGAGCTGCTGCTGGCCACGCCCCTCTGAGAAGGGATTGGTTAAAAGAACACATTAGGCGCTTTCACACCAAGTACTTTGCCGTACTTAGTTCATCAGAACTTAGTTCATCAGAACTCTTTAGTCCGGCCGGAAGTCCCCCGGAGTTGGGGACAAAAAGAGAGAGAGAGGGAGTCTCTTAACACAGAGGGGACACATACAGTATACGTATAAAATACATGAAAAAGTGGATTTTGCATAATCGTGACCGTTAAAAAACTATAAGACTAACACAAAACTGTAAATGTATACTGATAATAAAAATGTATGTCGGTTATCACTGGATTACAAGTGCCGTACACACATTCCTTCAGACTATTTATCGCAATTCAACACAATCTGTTGCAGAAAGCGACAGGAAACGAAGCAATTTGCCAGCAAACACAGGGAACTGCTGGCCAGGGAACTGCGTGGTAAAGCTGGGTAAAGTACATCATTTAAAGAACATGCATTCAACACATTTTACACACAGGTGAGAAACGCTGGATGTTGTTCACAATAAAACAGGATAATAATGCACTGCCATATTTTGTACATGGAGTAACTCTGACAAATCTCTTAGAATACATTCATCGATTATCACATGCAGGGCCTGACACGAATGGTTGACACTTTGCCATTGGCAGCCAATTCTTGGCACAAAATTTAGCGACAA